CTGTAAAAATGTCATAGAGCTTGAGTGGTGGGAAGAACACACTCACCCTAAATTTACAGAAGAGAGCAAAGCGGTGAAGTTTTGTTTCACTCCAGCCCAACACTGGTGTCGCCGGGGTATAAATGACACAAACAAAGTGTTATGGGGGAGTTGGTCTGTTATTGGTCCTCGGAATAGATTCTTCTTTGCTGGAGATACTGGTTATCATCAAATTTTCAAACAAATTGGCAAGAGATATGGACCCTTTGATTTGGCTGCAATACCTATTGGAGCATATGAGCCAAGGTGTGAAACATTTCCTTTTTTAGGGTCAATAACTGGCAATTATTTTTGCCCATACCATAGAGATTTAAGTGACATTATTGTTAATCCTCTATTAAGCCACCTGGGGGCTTATTTATTTCAAGCACGTTTGAAGGGGGAATGTTACAGTCTTATTTAAGAATAGGGACCGGGTATTCAAAACTCGCAACTTGCAACTAGTAACTAGCAACTCACAACTTCCAACTCACAATGCATAACTCACAACTCACAACTTGCAACTCGCAACCAGCAACTCGCAACTCACAACTCCATGACTCGCATTCTACGCACACCCTTAAAGGGGATGGAGAAAGGGGCTTAAAAGAGGTGGAGGGCTGAAAAGGAGGTCAAATTAGAGAAGCGAAGGCTTAGTTGAGAAGGGGGCAGGGGGCTTTATAGAGGATTAACGATATTCTACCAGCTTGCTTCCTTAAATGAGCCTCACCCAGAAATGTTAACTCGTAGCTAGTTTTCAAAATCAAAGCATTGAATTTCAACATTCAATTCAAATTTCGTACATGGTATGGTTTGAGCTAATTACAAATATGTGTACTAATTTCTCTTCACTTGTATCCCAGAGGGTTGATGCAGTTCCAACATGTAAATCCCGAGGAAGCCGTTGACATTCATGAAGATGTCAAATCCAACTTTTCTCTTGGAGTTCACTGGGGAACTTTCAATCTGTCGTTTGAGGTGAGTGCTTTTTCTTTAATTATATCTACTCCAAAAGTAGGAGGAGGAAGTCTTTGAGGGCAAACTCATAACGAAGACATCTCGTAAGACCTATTCGGGTTTTTAGAGAAAAAAAGGAGAAAGATGTGGATCGATTGGGACACGGGATTTGGCGATGTCACCATTTGGGATTCGGGTGATGTTGCTCAAAAGTATCCGAAATTTTGGTTACCGAAAATGGCAGCCAGAAGCCGTAAATATGCCGAGACATTATACTACCGAACAAAAAGGACAGGAAATTAGAGGGAGTGAAAATAAGAAGAACGAGAAGAGAAAAAAAGCAGTCGTTGCTCCCTTCATGAAATTGTCTACTTTGGAGACAGTATTTGAACCACAAAATTCTGGTCGAACGAGGAAGACTTTGAGGCAGTAACATTTTCGAACATCCAGCTCGATTTATTTTGCTCATCTTTCTTTTATTTCTTCTTTTGTATTTAATCAGCATTATCTTGACCCACCAAAGGCGCTCAGCGAGAGACTTCATAACCTAGGAATTTCTGATAAAGAATTCCACACCATCAAACATGGTGAGACGAAAGTTATTTCTAAAGATGACAAAAAGACGGCCCAAGAACGTCGAAATGCAGTTGTGTTTGAAACATCAACTTGAGATCCTTTCACTTTCCCAGATAGTATAAAGACTTTTTATGTAATAGCTGTATTTTTAAATTCCGTGAGCGAAGTTCCACGGTTTTCCGCTGAAGGGGGTACCTTTTCAGGGTCCAGGTTACGGAAAGTTATCCGTACTGGTTGAAGTTTATAAAAGGGTTGGGAAGTCTGTCATTGCGGTCTGTGAAAGGTCCTTAAAAGGCTAACAGACCCATTTTATGACTCTAAAAAAACACAAAGGAAACTTTATGGTTTTAAAGACGACGCATTTATAGCAGTTAAAAGGGATTCAGCGTTTTAAAATATTAAATGAAAGGCGTAAATTTGCCAGCAAAAGGTATACGAATGGGGTACCTATATTAACAAAAATGGTATCTTATTGTTACTTAATTTCGCGTTGTACGCGATTGTAAAAAAAATCGCGAAATTAAAGACTCGTGAAAATAAATCCTCGCGAAATTTAATACAATACATGTAACAGAAACGATATGTATTGACAAACACAAATTGCTAACTGGTTTTTACTGGTAAGCTCCATTTTTATTCGCTTGAATCGCGAAATTTAATGCCCTTTTTTCATATTTACCTGTTAAAATCGCGAAAATAAAACCCTGCGAAAGGGTGGTAAGAGGTTGGACCTCGGGCGGTACCCCCCGGATGAATTTTTTTTCCGGGCGGTTTGTGATTCAAAGGAGAAATCTTTTGTATTACTTTCATCTGGCTCTTTTTCTTTTGTATTATTATTTTTAGGAAACGAAATTTGAGATATGTTGCGAATTTTGATGGTTTTTAAACTTATTATTATTTTAATTTTATTTAATTGAGTTAATTACCTGTATACGAGCTACAACTACAACCTCTGAAGGTTTTAGAGAAATTAGCTTTGTTCTGGGTATAAAATGAAAAGTGCCAAGCAGCTTACATATTCTGCTAATGAGATTCCTGTTGTACGATATTATTTCAGAGGCGTCTTTAAAAATAATAATGTACAAAATATGAAAGTGTATAGAAACAATGGATAGTGTTAGTAATGTTAGTGTAATTTGTTATATCATTATGCTCGACACTATATATAGGACTAGAAAATCGTATATAAGGTATAAATTGATCAATCTTCTATTCATAGCTAGTTTACATGTAGATGCTTTGTAATACCCTGGATCGTAATTTATTTTAGCTGTTTCATAATCTCCCTGAAACGGCCAAAAATGCTAAGAAAACATCATAAATTTAGACAAGGAGACAAGGTTAGAAATTGTGATGTATCTTTATTTCTATTTTTGACCCCTAAAAAACGCTCGCTTAAATCTCCACACAGACCCCTATTAATAATATTTCTGTTATGCAGCAACGATCTTCACTCCTGAGCTTGGGGTACCTGTGATCATATTAAAGCAAAAAACTGAACAACGGCCGTATCAACTTAACCGGCAAAATTTCTCTCTCTCCTCGTTCTTCGACGGCTGTATCCGCAGGCCAAGACAAACTCTAGCTCTTCGTTTTAGGGACTTGTCGGTCGTCTGGAGCTTTCCGTTGAGGGGAGTTGATTACATTGCGCTTTTAAACTACGGGTATCCCCCGTCACTTCCCACCGTACTGGGTATTCGCCTCCCGGGGGGGACATTCCCTTATATAAGCCATATAGATATGTGCCGCCCCAAATGGTATAGTTTTTGCGCCGTTTCGGTGTGAAAACAGGTATAGATTTTGCTCATTTTGGTCTGGAATTGGGAATGGTTTTCGAGGAAACTACAGAAGTGTATGAACGTATTTATCGTTTCAATTGCAAATGAATCAGAAAGAAACAGTAATCAGCGAATTCGAAATGTATTTTAAGAAATCCTTTTGCTTGAGCTCTACTCTAAAAATGAACTGAAGTAAAGATGTATATATGGTCCAGACTTTGCCCATACCTAAGTCTCTGGCCCAGACTTTTGTCCACACCTTTTATTGTAAAAAATCAGGCTGATATTTCACAGTCCTAAACCTCTTGGCCCGCCGTGACCCCCACCAAAAATTCCCAGGGGTAGTCGCACATTCACCCCTGGGTTATGGCTGTACGAAGGACATAACTTTTAGGCCTCTTACCATGATCCATGATTACTGATATGCTCTGTTAACAATCAGCCCAGCATAAGAGCCACCAACGTAAGAGCAATGACGTCATAGGAAATCTTTTTGTTTTTTTTAATCCGCCATTTCGATCTCTGGCCTTGTTAATATGACCTCACTGATACAACGAAGCTCTTTTCATTTCTTTTTCCGTTAGCTTTGATTCAAGCAAAAGTCGACTTTAATTATTTAGCAATTATTGAATGGGGCTGAGTGTCATCTGAAGAATTATAGAGATCGAGGAGGGTGTTATCCGCCGAGGTCTTGCGGCCTTCAAATTTAGGAGATAAAGGGTTGTTGAGTTCTGTAAATATAATATTCTCCAAATAGTAGATGTCGTCCGTCGAGTTGTCTTCTTGCTGTTCTTGCATTGTTTTAGCCAATAGTTCGCCTATTTCTTCCTCGTAAAATGGGTGAAATGTTCCGCCATGGTGTATTCACTACCAAAATAATTCAACCTCTTCCCCAGATCTTCTCGGTTTACCGTTCATTAATCTGGCAATTTTGCTACACGATTGACATCATCCGTTCACATATCGCAAAATTCTTCCAAATTTGGTCGACAGTAACTGGTTATGATGAATTATGCGTGGGATTTTAGCCACTTAGAAAGGTAGAAATATTTTGAACATAAAATAAAGTAGAAGTTCTCAATAAAAGTCTTTCTTTGTCCCATATTTAACTTACAATTTAAAGTAGAAAAAAAGAAATAGAAACTTAGATTCACAAAATTAATTAGTTTCAAAGCCGCGCTGTGGTTGCTCCTGCCACGCCAAAGTTACAGCTGTCTCTATAACGGCTTCTTATTTGCCAACGGGAAGCAACTAACATGACGGGTGGTCGTCGAAGTCGAGTTTTGAATAGCCAATCGTAAATGTCAGTGCTATAGTGAGTGCAAATATCTAGGTCACGTAAATACATAACATTGTCAGTGGAAATGGCAGTTAGGTCAGTCAAAATCGTATTAAAAGTGTCAGGAGTTTGGAAGAGAAATTATCATGTAAATGTACTCGTAACGGTGCTGATCGGGTTAAATGAGCACTTCCATCTGTAAACTATAGTTTATAGCTTTTGCTTGCTAAGATGGAAAAGCACTTGAGAAATGTCTCCAGTTTCACTGCTGTTAGAAGGCTGGCTTAGTTTGAAGAAAGGAATCAAAGAAATTAACATCCGCTCACTAAAACAACAACTGAAAACCTGTCGTCACCATCGTGCTGTTTGTGGACAATACAACGTCCTTCGCCATGAAAGAGACAGACAAAGCATGTTTCTTTTTTGAAGACGCGTTCATTAACTTCGATAAAAAGCAAGACATTTTCATCACAAATATTGTAGTTTGTATTCTCAATTGTTCATTTTCTATGGCGACATGTTTCGGGAACTTTCTGGTTTTATTCACGATTAGAAAAACTCAAGATCTTCATTTGCCATCGTTCATTCTTTTGGGTTGCCTGGCAGCTTCGGATGCTATTGTTGGTTTGATTTGTCAACCACTATTTGTGGCATTTAAAATAGCCGAACTCAAGGAGAGTTTGACGGTTTACTGTACTTTGAAAATGCTTCAGTCTCTATCGGGTTGGATAACAACTGGTGCAACACTTGCTGTTTTAACTGCGGTGTCCGTTGATCGTCTACTCGCTCTTACCCTTCATTTACGATACAATGCAATTGTTACCGTTCCTCGAATATTCCAAAGCATTCTTGCTTTCTGGATTCTGTGCCTTGTAATGAATATTATAAGATTTTGGATGACCAAGGAATGGTATTTAATCCCGATTGTCGCCGTTTTTATCACATTTTTTATTATAACGTTTAGTACTATACGAATATTTCAAATTGTTCGAAGACACCTACGCCAGATAACTGGCCAAACTCTTGCCGCCGGCCCTCCTCAAGCAAACACATTGAACGTACTTAAGAGCCGAAAATCGGCTGTGACAGTGCTTTATATTTACGGCTTGGTCTGGATATTCTATCTTCCGTTTCTTATAGTGCTATTCATTGACGTATTTTATGGATACACAAGAACAGTAAGGATTGCCTATGACTTTGCTGTAACTGCTGTCTTCATCAACTCTTTTTTAAATCCAGTTGTGTACTGTTGGAGAATCAGTGAGATACGACGCGCTGTGAGAAATGTGCTCAGAAAAGAATAACTAGACTCGTAACACATAAAGATTTAACAAAACCTTTTTAAGTTCATTCTGTCTTATTTGAGACTACTGGGCAGTTGTGAATGTTCGCCATATAAAGTTAAGAACTCTTTAGTCTGAGCGAAGGGAGTTTTTTCAACGTTACACCTGGCAATTAAAAACTCGGAATTTATCTGTTGGGGTCGTAAACTGGTCGTTATCGAATAAAAATAGAGTACAAACTAGCTTTCTAATTAATAATGCTTATTTGTGCGTTTTTGTGGAAACGCGTTTTCGCGTCTGCGTTTTCTGGTCTTAAGTCTTGGTTTTCGGGGTCTTAGCTTTCGCAAGAACCCTGATTCGTACTGCATTGACTACATTGAACACAAAAAAGTTCATGTGGTAATGAACTGATGAGTTGAAGTTACTTTCAAAATATATTGATAAATCAGTCTATTCTTGCTTTGAAAAAGTAGAAGTACTAAAACATTAAACTAGAAAATTTTGCCACGACAAAAGTCGAGTCACGTAGTTTTACAGTGAGCCCAGCTGGCGCCTTTTCTGATCACGTAACGTCACTCTCAAACTTCGTCATGAACAAATGCAAATCATACTTTAAATAAACAAGTCGACAAAGTTAGTTGATGCGATTATTTACTAAAGTAAATTATCAGCTATTATATTTCGACAGTAATGTAAGTGTCAGCTCTCCTTAATCGCAATTCTAAGTTAGTTTCCTTATGATTGAACTCGAATGGCTTTCTTCCGAAAATTCAGTATCAGATAAGGCTCTAAGCCAACCCCTTCCCCCATCCCCCCAAAAAAATCTTAAGTGCGTCAAATTGTCTTATTTGAAAAATCGTATTCGAAAATTGTTTATAAAGACTGCTTCGAAACAGAATAATCATTCCATCGACTACTGAACTAAACTTGAGTTCTCAGTTTGTTGATGACGCGTTCAATAAATCTAGAAGAAGTGCTACCCAGCTAGCAGAGTCGCTTCGATCTTTCCTAGATAAGCCCGACTTATCTAGGAAGATCGAAGGAGACTCTGTTCGCAGGGTAGAGAAGCGCGTGTGACTACTGCTGAAGAGTAAAATGCATTTTCAACGCATTTGAATTCTTTAAAATGCATTAGAAAGTTTCTCAATGATTCGTATTTTTTTAAGCATTTTTAACCTTTTCCATGGATGCGTGCAACTTCGTCAAATGATGCAAAATGATCAACACATTGTCAATGTTAGTATTTGTTTTTTTTTTTGTTTTTGTTTTTTTGCGCGACGATAGAAATGATTTCGAAACGTCAACGCGGTGCACGTAGTCACTCCAACATGTCCTTTTTACAATGCGCTGCAAATGGTCTAGTCTCTTTTGCAGCCGTATTGAAATAAGACTTCTCGTAAGACTTTTGTCATTATTCGTGACGTTGTGTGGGAAGTCTCACAAGACCTGAAAGGAACCTCAGAAATTTATATCTTAACCGCGCTTTGAAGTCGATTAATTGTAAAACAGAAACATTAGAATTTTTAAAGAACAAAAACTCGAAAAATATTCTGTTTCCTTACTACGTGTGTTGAGAATAGATGATTTTCACAGTGACGTCATCAAATTGTAAAGTCAAAATAGCGAGTTTATACGAATTCTCGTTTACACAAGCTTGCAGATAAACAAAAAGTAAATCTTTGTACAAGTTTCCATTCCCGTAGCATGTTGTATTTCGAAAATGCAGCAACTTGAACTTCCGTATTTTCACAGTGCGTGACACCAAAATAGGAACGCTGTGTCGTTGAACAAAAGTCTCTCCTCTTGATTTTTAGCGGTATAACCATTTCAGGTATTAGAGGATATGTTTATGCGCACGTATACTAGTTCTCGAGTGAAAAGAAAGAGCTTTCATAGAAAAAGTGAACTCAAAACAGATGTTTTTGTTGATTTCCGGCTGCCATATTGGTGCACCAAACGACGTCTCCATACAAAGCTCTACAAAGGTGCGTGAAACGTTTCGGCAAATAACTCAGAAACTGTGGGCCAGAAAGACCTGAGACTTGGATAAATTGTTTATATATTAGTCTTTTATAACATTTCATTTTCTTGGTTTCTTCCACTGGACGGTTTCCAATTTATTTTTTGTTACGTGACAGTGAAAACGATCTCAGTATTGTTTGTCATCCGCCTGGAAAATGAACATCCTCGGTGAAACATGATCCAGTGAATTTAAACTCCAAAATTTCACAACACAAAGTAACGATGCTAATGTTTTCACAGGAGTTGATTTGGAGAGGAGAAATCTGTTATACAAATATCGTAGTTTTTGAACATGAGAAATGAAGATACGCTTCTTAAGAAATGATGTATTTCATTGCCTTTTCATTCGGTCACGCACTAGTAGCGATCAAAGCAGAACACGAGGCAGCCGAGCATTTTGTTTGTCACCGAGGACCATCAACGAAAGATTCCGAAACTGAAATTGTTATCTTTGCATGCTGATTGACTCCGAAGTATACTCTATTTTTACTTACTCACTTTCGGAAAACTAAGTGTGCTGATTGGCTCCCAAGTATATTCTGGTGTTTCTTACTATTTACTTTCGGAAAAGTAACTCGATGGCAATAGTGCACGTGACTACTGGCTCATGCGCAGTGGTCACAATAACTCACCAATCTAAGCAATTTTGTGAGTTTTGTTTTTTTTTGTTCAAGAAATAGAACCTTGGACTCTTAATGGTTATACTTGAACGCTTTAACTCGATCTTCTTTTGCGACAGCTAAGTTTAGTACAAAGTTCGATGGATAGTTATTATTACAAAGTGCGACACGGTTTATTACTTTGCGTCAGGAAGTACAAGTGCAAACAATATTACAAATTGCGACAGCACACCTGTACATGGCCACGGGGGTGAAAATGCTCTACATTTGAGCAAATATCGGTTAAATCTTGGATGTCATAAAAACAATAGCCTGTACACAGACGTTGTTTTATTTTTCTTTTCGTTCTTTTCGAAAACATTGGCGAGCGAAGCGTGCGAAGCGAGCGCGCGAGTACGAGCGCGGAGCGCGAGAAAGAATAATAAAGAACGTCTGTAGACATCTTTGGGATAAAAGAGGTTTATTAAGCAAGTCCCTCCCCAACGTCAACGCGTCATCATTATCTTCTCCGCGTTCGCAGTACCAATTAAATTAGACCAATGGAATTGGAGATATAAATTGCTCGTGTAATTGGCTTAAATATTTTACCATCAAACAACAATGACACTCGGAGTCACGTGTTTGTTGACGCATCTCTTCTTAGACCCTCCTTAGACTGCTTCTACGCCAAAAAAGCCGGCTAAAAGCGGTCGAAAGCTGAACCAAATCGACACATCGGATTCAGTGCCCCGTCAGGGTGTTACAAAACGAAAGTTAGCGTTTCGCAAACAGGAGATCAGCCATGTAGTGTTTGTTCGCCTCGCAGTAATCAGGTTAGAAGCACCCGAGCTGGATTTTCTTTCATTAAAGCTAGCTTTCAAGACAGCTAGAGCGACGATAGACTTTCAAAAAAAGTCCTTCGACGGCCAAAAAAGGCTCGCTCCGCTCGCCAAGAGGTCGACTTGTAGCAAGTCTAGAGCGACGATGATAGCTTTCGGTTTTAAAAAAACAGAATGTCCGCATCACCTCATGGTTCCGCGGCAAGGTAACGCAACAGCTGAAATGCCAGCTTCTCCTCATTGCTTCAACTTGATCATTGATAATAGTTCTTAATGTGGGGCGTTTCCCTCCCTTCCTCCTCGCGCGCCCCTCGCGTTTCTCTCGCACTTAAAACTCCCTTTCCCTTCCCTTTCAAACGCCTGCCACGCAGGCTAGTGATACAACTACAATTCCTACAATTTCGTCTATTTTCTCATTTCCCCACCACTACCCCCCTTGCGCTGGCAGTGAATAAATCCCCCGCGGTTTATATTTTATCACCCGCGCTCGACGGACTTTCAAGAGAAAATAGAGGGTCTGTGAACAGGCTATAAAAACGATAAATAATATGATTTCATGCAGGGTCAGACAAATTTTATGAAATGATTCGCAGTTTGAAACATCTTCCTCTGATGTCTTTGGGTCGATTCAACCAAACACAAGAGACGTGTTATTTCAACTTGACATTACCAAAAATAATCAACGGGATTAAGGGATTGCTCTAAATTTTGGGTCAGGATTACGGGATTGAAGAACGCTATCAGGGATACTCTAAGACATGAGGCCATGGTATTTTTCATACATCAAGGAAACCAAACAAACAGAAATACATTTATTTCTCTCGTATCAAGATTAAACATTTTCCTCGACGCACTGACAAACGAAAGTATCTCTTCATCTCAAGCAGATATAACAAATACATTATCCATCATAGTACTGACGTTAAATTATGGCAATTCCGGTGGCGGAAATTAGCGTTCAGGAAAATGACGCGCCTAAATTACCACGAATTTCTTATTCGCGTTTATTTTCAATGTCCTATATAATAATAAGGGACGTTTTCTAGTTGACTCTGTCATTTGAAAACCATCGCTCAAAAACTGCTAACTTCATGCTTTGAATATTTATATTTGCCTTGCATCAGCGAGAGTATTTAGTTAAAGGAATGTTAATTTAGTGATGCTTCTTCTTTAGCAGTTAACATTTTAAATACTCTATTTTATAACATTGCGCATGTAATATCCAGGCCTTTTAGGCTGTCTCTTTAGTCCTCCTGGCTATTAATTCGACAGATTAATGAAGAAAGGAGCGGCTGCCATTTGACACCAAGTCTTAAGGACGGTAAACATGCATTATTGCAGGGCAGCAGATGGTAATTATAACATAACCCGCAAACATGAAAAAAATCCATTATGATCTTAGTTTGTAACTATGCCGGCTCTTAATAAAGTGCAAGCTAATAGAAATTGATCGACATCTTCTTAGCGGAGCTCCACGCGCGCGGGAAGCTAATTAATTAATTAATTAGTTAATTAAAATCATTCTCACGGACCAGTTTTCAACGAGAAGAACACATAGTTT